CACACAACGAGTCGATATTGCCAAAAATTTACTACCGAAATTCGGAATCAGTGGCTTTAACTTTAAGAGCGCGACGTCCAATTTATTGTCGTCGTAATCGTCCCGTCGGATCAACAATTGAGCATTTAGTGGAAAAATATGAATCCATAGGCACAGTATAAAATGTTTCCATGCCAGTGAGAAATATAAGTGTCCATTGGGGTTCCATCAATTGGGGAAAACTCAAATCAGTCTGTCACGCTTGGGCAACTGCGTTAGTTGGATGCGTTTTGGTTCATCTTCGATATTTATTTATTTCAAAAAATGGATTAAAGAATCTGTATAAAATTTTGCGTGAAAAAATTATGTGCGCGGAGGCATTTCGATGTTGCTTGTGGAATATGACGAAAATAAGATTGCAGAGATGTCGTGCATCATGAATTCTCGCCATAGGGTCGTACGGTCAATAAATCATATTACCTGCAAGTTATGCGCAATTTGCTTGAAGCAATCCGTAAAATATCAACGGATTTGTGGAAGAACGAAAATTGGCTTTTCCCCATATGATAACGCTACTGCTCACAGATCGTTGCCTGAGCGTGAATATTTGGCCAAAAACAACACATTAATGGTGCCGAAGCCACTATATACCTCAGATCTGGCCCCCTGTGACTTTGTTTGTTTCCAAAACTGAAGCCACCCATGAAAAGACGACGCTACGATAAGATTTGGAAGATAAAAATCGTAGCAGGAGCTAAACAATATCACTCCAAATGACTTTTGTAAGTGCTTTGAGGATTGGAAAAAAAGCTGAAAGGAACGCAATTTCGGTGATCTGGTGGTTTCTACTTTGAAGAGATCAAAATAGATATTCATGAATAAATAAAAAAATTCTTAAGAAATACAAAATTTGCGATATTTTTTGAGCAAACCTCGTATTTCGATTTGCGTTAAGTTATTCGGTTGTAAAAATTATTGACATACAAATAAATAAGAAAGCATATTGACGACAAAGTTCTAAAGCAATAAAACGATGATGATAAGTGATTTCTGTAGTTAAGTTGATTTTAATAAAAAGCATTTCCCAGTAATGCTAATCACGGCAATTGACTTTACGCCCTACTATATGTTATAGGTTAATAAGATGTTATACTTGTACTCAATGACAATTTTTAATTACAACCAAGATTTTATTGAAAAAGTATATCTCAAAGTGCAATTAATAAGAATTTCATAAAACAGTTTCAAAAGAATAAGCGTTAAGCAAATAAATACATCGGACGACGGGCTTTAGACGAATTGTGGAAAGCGAAAGATCCAGAAAGTGCAATCTCAAGATTTGCATTTGTAATCTGATTTAAGGGCATCTGTTGTTTTTTTTTTTTTTGTTTTTTTTTTTGGCATATTTCGGTTAAGGGGTTAAATTAATAATAATAAAACTTAATTGTTTTCTCAAAAAATTCTAAATTTTTTTGCGTGTCTTTAAAATATGTTTATCCTTTTTTAAGTTGTCACGCAAGGTATACCTTTTACCATTTCTGAATGGTGTCGATGTGGTGCAGAAACCTTTCCGCTTCCGACGCAATCAAAAACAGCCCCGAAAAAAAAATGCAATAAATAAACTATTCGCACCACCAAAACCCATCTTGAGACCCAGCATTCATTATTGGGTAATATTCGACCGAATAGACCACTTCCAATATAGCAACCGTAGCTGAGAGTGTACACGAAGACTGGAGAGAGTTCATTCGGCAGACATATGAAACGACTTGACCGACTTTTTAGACCCAATTGTATTCAGCGATGAGACCCATTTCTGGCTTGATGGATGTGTAAACAAATGAAATAGCCGCATTTAGGACAAAGAGTAACATGAAAATATTCAAGAGCTGCCATTTCATTCAGAAAAAACAATTCTAGTATGGTTTTTTGTGGGCGGGTGGAATCACCGTTCCATGTTTCTTCAAAAATGATGCTAGTGAGAACGTAACCATCAATAGCGATCGTTATTTCGTCTTGTGGTCCGTTATTCGCCCGTTCCCACGACAGTCGGGTCTACGAAAACCGGAACGGACCCGGATTTTTATCCGGCCAAGGACTGTCAACACGGCAGAATTCTGCCGTTACAACAACAACAACAACCGTTATTTCGCCATGAAAACCGACTATTTGATGCCTGATTTTGAAATTTTAATGTATTTTTTGAGAGAACACTTCGATTAGCAGATAATTTCACGTTATGAACCAGTCGATTGGCCACCAAATCATGTGATATGACACCGTTAAACTTTTTCCTGTACGGATATGTAAAGTCTTAAGCCTAAGTGGGCAATCCCGCTTCGAATCAGGCCTTGGAGCAAAACACCTCGCGTGTCATTCGCTAATTACTTGTCGAAATGCTCAAATGTGTCATCGTAAATTGGACTCAAAGAATGGACCATTTTTGAAGTAGCAGCGGCCTATGTGTGAAAGATATAATCTTCAAAAAATAAATGCTAAAGAATGTTTTTCGAATGATAATAAACTTTCTCATTAAATTTGAAGTTTCTGTTTTTTTTATTTAAAAAAGTAGGGAGTTTCGAATGGTTCACCCTTTGTAAGGCCTAAACTTTGAAGTTAAGACAATTTCTTATTAATTTTTGTTAATTTTGAAATTAAATATACAATATCAAAAAGTATGAATTGAACTCAGTAGTGAGAGACTTCTCTCAGCAAGCAAAATATTATAAAGTTAAGTCTGTTCACATACATAATGCATAAAATTTTGTCAATCTGGAAATATTATATGCAGAATATATTGTCACCTAAAATGCAAAATAACGTAACATCACTTTTCACAAGTTTACAGGCGTAAAAAAAACTATTTAATGTATTTAAAGTGACGATATGCATTTTGGTCTGTTAGTGAGGGGTCGTATCTCATAAACGAACCTATAATACCTTAGAAATTAAAATTTTCAGTATTGTAAATTTAAATTTCAAAACAGGAATCATTTCGTTTTGTTTAAAGAGAAGTATCTGAAAAAATGTGATGACAACTGTTAATATATTTAATACGCACACACTGTAAAACTTTACAACTTAATAATGACTGATTAATTAGCTGATCGTGTCAACCATCAGCCTAGCCTAGGTCTAGATTAATGAATTAATAAAAATGAGTAAGAGCACATAGAGAGCCATAAAATAAAATATTTGATTGTGAACACGAGGTGAACTTCGTAGCTAAGTGAAATCTGACCGAATCCATAAGAAGTCTTCTAAGTCCCCAACAAGTCTAAAATTGATTCAAATGTATAATATAATCCATACTACATTTATCGACAAGCATAAACGCTCAAAGTTTAATTGTATATATTCGACGCAATATGTGAGAGGAAATAGTTTTATTTATAAACATTTGCAGCAAATGAACAACAATGCAAAGTGCATTGATTCCAATTATCATAAACCGAGTTTAGCGCAGCAAATGTCCGAATCGATGAAAGCAGGCCGCCCAGAAGCGCGCGTCCGGAGTAGCATGAGAGATAACAAATGGCTTATCAGCTAGCAGCAAAGCAATAGCTGAGACAATAGCTCACCAAAGAGAAGCAATGCATCGCGAAAACAAAAGCGGAGAGAGCGCGCTGTAAAATATTGCAAAAACCACTCGAGAGCGGATTAAAAGAGAAGGTGCAGCATAAAGGCAACTTATTAAAGCTAATTGCCAGTTTGAGTGTATCCCAAGCGCCACTTGGCAAACAATACGATTTATAATTTGACGCAGAACGCTTGGACATCGCTGAAAGCACTCATAATGAACGCGCATTTTACACTCAAAACCGTTTGCATTGCAGCGCAGCTCACTCACTTGGCGCTCACGAGCGCGCCGGTTTTGGCACGAAACAAGTTGTTGTGGTGTACTTTGCGCGAAAAGCGAATGCTGTAAGTTGTAAGCTGTAACTCTTTGAGCTTGGCGCCGCTGGTTGTTGTTCGCGCTGTTTTTTTTTTTTTTTTTTTTGTTTTGGGTTGGTTTTGCTCGCTCGGTTTGTATGAGTGCATATGCATGCGGCTGCTGTCTGTCGCTGAGAGAGTTACGCTTAAATGATATTGCCAAGTTGTTGCAGAAATTATTTTCTCAGCGCATTTCGAGCATTAATGGTGTGGTATTTTGCGCAGCGCGTGCAAGTTAAATCGAATACAAAACGTTAAGCAGCCGTGACTGTGCGTGTCAGTGTGCGCGCTCGTGTGTGTGTGTGTGTATTTATATTTAAATAAATTGCAATCTATAAGCGAATAGTTCGATTATTTGTCATTTGCTGCAAAAGAATTGCAAGAAAGGGCGGATAGTGTGTGCTAATAACGGCGCAGCGATACAAAAGACTTAAGCGACGAACGCGTTGGCCTTACGCATAGCTAGCGAAGGCGCATGCGCAACATAAACAAAGCCTATGAAAGTGGAAAATGATGATGTTATTGGCTTGAAAAGAACTAAAATATATAAAATGCTGCAATAAATAAAATATATAAATATTTGCTCATAAAAAGTGCGTTGGCATGGACAATGTCTACAAAATTTTTAATTATATTTTGGCTGTTGGTCGAAAACATACATACATACATACATATGTGCATTGCAAAATAACACAGAAACAAGTTTCCATAAATGCTGGTGTTTGTGTGCGAAACTCTTGTGATAATTTGGGTCGAGAATATGTGTTTCAGACAGCTTTAAAGCTGAAGAAAAAATACGAAAAAATTTCATCGAATTTCGAATTTGTGCAAATGTAACGAATGTGGAATATATAGAATAGAAAAATAAACAAATAGCAAGCAGTTGGGTGAAAATTAAATTACAAAAGTTATTAAAAAGTTTAATTTAAAATTAAATTAATTACTAATTTTGATTATTATTATATTTTAATTACAAAAAGCGCTGAAAGTAATAGTAATTATTAACAATAATCATAAAATAATGCAAAAATAAATCGAATACAAGCGTAAAAAATATTATTTCTTGAAACAAAAAACCGATACGAATATTTTACAACAACAAAAGCAAGAAAAAATGCATGCAAGTAGTGTATAAAAAACAAGTAAACACCAAAAACTACACATTTGTTGAGAAATTCCAAGCAGTTTGCCCGAGTGACTGCAGGAACTCGTTAAATTGTGGCAAGTGTATTTCCACAAGGCCTCCGACGAGCTGGCCGGAGCCGCACAGCTGTCATCGCAGCTGCCACTCCCCGTGCAGCACAGCAACAACTAACACACAGTTTAAGCTAAAGCATTGCGCGCAAGCCGAAAAAAAATATTAAGGAACATTGTGCTACATGCCACCAATTTGTCGATTGTGCAACAGTGCTGAACACAAGCAAATAAAAAGCAAAGAAAAATGCTGAAAAATTGAATGTAAACAACGTTAACCGCAAACATACAACAACAGCAATAACACCGCTAATCAAAATTGCAGCGAAGAATCATTTATCCGCAAATCTGCAAGCATCTTACTAGCCTGCAAGTGCATGTGTGTGTGTGTGTGCATGTGCTTGTGGCATATTGCACAATTCTTCGCCGTTGTCTGGTGAGCAATTAAGCACGCTTACACCGATTGCCAGCCAGCCCGGGCAGCGTACGAGCGCACCACGCCATGCCACTGCCAAGCCGCTGGCCAAGTCAAGCACCTGAACGCTCGCGCCACACAGCTGCATAGCATCCACATATGCTGTGCTGTTGTTGTAATCATATATGCATATTAAACGTACACATATATGTACATATGTACATGTGTGTTGGTGTAACTAAGCCAGTGCTTTCGTGTGTGTGTGTCCATCATTGCAGCGCATGTATGCCAGAAATGCGACGCAACAACAGCGCACACACACTCATACAAACATACTAAACGCGCATATAAAGGCATTTGTATATAAAAAGTAGCCATGAGTGCGCCTGTGTACGGGTTTTGCAATTGCAACTGCTCGCAGTGAACTAAAAACGAAAAACGAAAAATAAAAATAAAAACGAAAATAGTGCAATAACAAAAACAAATCGGACGAAACTTTGGCAAAAGTTTAAGAAACGAAAATCACATAAAAGTATTTAGCGAAAAGCTAGCAACAACAAACAGTGCTTCATAGTTGCAGGAGAAGGAAAACGCAAAGTCAATAAAAAAAAACCCACACACAAACACAGTCCACTTCGTATATGTGTATGTCGTGTGACCTATATTCATAGATATAAATAAAGTTTAAGTTGTTGTATTGTATTGTTGGTGTTGTTTTTTTTTTTTTTCTTGTGTAACGTGTTAACATAAAATCGCCAAAATTGCTGTGCTACTTTGTTCCAGGATTATGGGGTACATCATGCGGCGCTTTCTGCGGTCGGCCATGATCGTCTTCAGTTGGTTCGTTGTACCGTACAGTCGCTTCACCAACATCAAAGTGAACCGCAAAAAGTTGCCGCCCATACGGAGTCACCTGCTGGAAATACCCGCTGTCGATTTGGCCAAACTGATTCGCAATGGAAAGGTGAGTGAGCTTGAGCTTTTTTTGCTTTCTTTTAGTTTTTAGTTTGCTCTTCTTTTGAAAATTACGACAGGCAATCTTACTACTCAACGCGTTAAGTTTTAAAAATATAGAAATAGATCAGTAGTTAAGAGAGTATCAACGTTTTTTCGGTTTTTGAAAAATCAGATTATGTTATATTTTTTTGCGTTGCTTTTGAGAATGTTATATGGAAAAGTTTTCCATACAAAGACTTAATTTTGACCGGTCAGCTTGTATGGCAGCTATACGAGTATGCTATGGTGATCCGATCTGAACTATTTTTTCGGAGTATATACCGTTACTTTGGATAATAAGCTATGCAAAAATTTCGTAAAGATATCTCGTCAAATAAAAAATTGTCCACATAAGGACAAGTATACGATCATTCAGTTTGTTTGGCAACTTTATGCAACAGTGGTCCGATATACGCGGTTCCGTCAAAATAACAGCACTTTGGAAATAAAGAACGTGTGCGAAATTGTGGCCAGTCTGAAGGAGTTTAGAGTGCACCACAACTTGATAATCGAAGAAATTTGTCAACATAACCTTGCTTTTTGAACTGCCTTGACATGTTGTTTTCGGCTTCGGCACACCTTTGCATTCGGTCGTTTGGTCGTCTGTTTCCTTGTCGTAAGCATAACTCCAAGGCTCATCGCCAGTAATAACACTTTTCATGACATCCTGGTAGTCGCAAAGCAATGTTTCGTTAACCCGGCATTGTTTTCGAATTGAGTGATTTTGGAACCAATCGTGCTTTCACTTTTCTTAGGCCCAAATGATCTTTCAAAATAGTTTTCACTGATCCTTCCGCTATTCCAAGGATGCCAGTAAGGTCTCTGACTATTGATCCTCGATTTTCAAGCACCAATTATTTTAATTTTATTGACGTGTTGATCATCAGTTGATGTTGATCGCTGTTCCGGACGTGGTTCGTCGTCAACGCGTCCGCGATAATTTGTACCAATCAAAAACACTTCCTTGTGCTAAACAATTATCACCGAGATCTTTTCCAATACTTTGAACGTTTCGGCACCGGCTATTTGGTTCCGCGCACAAAAGTGGACAATATCACTCATCGTTAAAATCACCGAATGCACTTATTGTATTTCAGAAAGACATGCTTAAACTAAAAAATAATGATTATTTTGGCACAGATGTCACAGATAGTCACAGCAACCTAGCAAAAAAATGCTTCGATAAATGAGTTTTCGCGCCAAAGTTAAATTAAAAAGTCTTTCATATTTTCCCTAGTGGGGAGCAAAAGAGTGAGGAGCAATAGTGCGCTTGTTTGACCAAGAAGTAACGATTTAAACCGGTTCTTAGTTGATAGCATTAGACTTTATTTTTTATTTTTTTCGAAGCAGTCAATGAATGGATGAATATCGGTCCATTATTTCAGCCTCCATATGCGCGAAATTCAAGACATTTGCCTCAACAAGTATCAAACTATTCCACTTATGCATCAAACATTTCCAAGATATTCGATCTAAAAGGACGTTACATTGACATAGATTTCACACCATTAACTTAAGTTTTTGAGGGATAATTAAAACGCAATCCTTGGCCCGTTGATAAGCTCAAGACAACAATTGGCGCATAGCTAAAGTGCTTAAGATTTTCAAAGAAGTAACAGAAACCGCAGCAAACTTTACTTATGTAGGTCCAACTTCACTGATTTTATATTTCCAAATATAAAATATTTTTTTATTTTTTTTTATTTATTTATTTTTATTTTATTAAAGCTTACATAATAAACAAATTATTAAATAAAAAAATATATATAAATATATATATATATAAAATAGAGACTCAATTTTGCTACTGTTTTATTTATTAAGTTCAACGGCAAATTGTAGACAAATCAGAATAATTGTCTTTGAAAGTATAATAGGATCAGTAACTTATTGCGCCTTGAATTTTGAAATCTTCCAGAAATTTACGGAGGCTGCTATATATATTTCTGTCCTTCTGCCAGGTGAAATCTGACATTTCCATTGGAAAGTTTGACATTTTTTAGCATAACATCACTCAGAACGTTTTGTCCTTTAGTCGTGAATTGTTCTATTTACAGGGAATTAAAAAATTCATCTCGGCCAAAAAATGGAATTAACTCGTGAACATTTTCGTGCGATCATTTTTCACAACTTTCGACGTGGATTATCACGACAAGAGTGCATCGAAGCACCATCTTATAGCACTGTGAAAAACTGGTACAACGAATTCAATCGTGGCCRACGCTCGCYCAAARAYGAATTCCGTGAAGGTCGTCCAAAAACAGCCGTTGTGCCAGAAAACATCGATGCCGTACGTGAACTGATAATGCAAGACCGTCATGTAACATACCTTCAGATAGAGGCATTTCTCCCACCAGCATACATTCGACATTGCATGAACACCTGGCCGTAAAAAAGGTTTGTTCTCGTTGGATTCCGCACAATTTGACAATCGCTCGAAAAAATGCTCGTGCAGATTGGTGTAAAGAAATGCTGAAAAAATGCGATCGCGGTGCTTCAAAAGACGTTTATAAGATCGTCAAAGGTGACGAATCATGGATCTATGCGTATGAGCCCGAAACAAAACAGCAATCGACCGTGTGGGTCTTCCAAGACGAGCCAAATCCAACGAAAGTTGTTCGTGGAAGAAGCACTTCGAAGCAAATGGTCGCCTGTTTCTTCGGCAAAACTGGTCATGTGGCGACTGTTCCGCTTGAGCAACGTAGGAGGGTCAATTGTGAGTGGTACCCCACCATTTGTTGTTGAAGTCTTCGGAGAAATTCGAAAAACGAACAAGAGAAGACGAATCATTGTGCACTATGACAGTGCGAGCTCTCACAAATCGGCTCAAACCAGCGCCTTTTTGACCGGCCAAAACTTCGAATTGATGGGTCATCCACCGTACATCCCTGACTAGGCACCCAATGACTTATTTTAATTCCCACAGATCAAGAAAATAATGCGTGGTCAACGATTTTCGTCGCCAGAAGATTTTGTTGAAGCATTCAAAAACCATGTTTTGGAGGTGTCTCAATCGGAGTGGAAAAAGTGCTTCGAAAATTGGTTTGAGCGCATSCAAAAGTGTATAAATCTTGATGGAGAATATTTTGAAAAACAATAAAACCATGTTCGTTGATAAATATTCCTATTTTCATTATTAGGCCAGAAATATATATAGCAGCCCTCGTACACAGTTGTTTGTACAATTTTCCACTAAGCAAGTTCACTGAGAATAAAGCTTGAGATTATCTTCTTATGAGCACGTTTTTATAAAGCGCATCCAATTTAGTAAGCTTCAACTAGCATCGGTTACATATTCTTATATTGTATTTTTCCATCTTCAAGTATATATTCCTTGATTTCAATTTTCTCAACTTTACTTCGTTCTATTTTCCACTATTTTATCGCTAAATTAAAGGGTTTTCTTTCTGTTATTATTAACATTTTGCAAAGCTCATTAAAATGTATGAACGAAATTTTGTCGTCATATTTTCACACATATTTGTATAGTTAAGCATTTATTTGTGAACTTCCAGACGGGATGGACCGGTTTACTAAATGAAATTGGCATAAATTAATTAACTAAAAATTCATGGCTTTATTTTCACGAGATCTGTAATAAAAATTGTTTCAAAGAGTGTAAGAAGTTGGCGCTATGGGAATTTGTTTTTTTTTTTTAATAAAAGATATGAAAATGCAAGATTGTCTTTTTTACTTTAGGCTTTAAATATTTACTGAATATATATTTTATTTAAAATATTTTTATTTTCGCACACTTATTAAAAATTTGTTTTGCCACATCATGATAATGCCAGCCATATGTAAAGAAAATACTTCACAGTCGCAAGGTCCTCTGACTCTGCCTAAATCGCAACAGATCCAGAGATCCCCTAACCTCTCAGCAAGTTTCGGATTACCATAGATATAAGAAGTTTCAATCGTTACTATCTAAAAACCTTGTCGGGTGTTAACTGTGGAAGTGGATTGCTAGACTCCTCTCAGAACTTCCTCTTTGAGCATCATGCTTTAGCTACTAAGGATCTAAGACAATGAATCTCAAACCTTTAGAATTCCAAGATAACTGATTGAGACCAAAATCAAGCTTTTAAGTAGTTTAGTGATAGTATCAAGGTGGTTTATCGATATACCACCTTTAAGAATATTCAGATCTATTTATAGGTGTTTTTGGAACCATAAAGAACTCGTGTGGTGTGATCTGGAATTAGGAATTAGCCTTCATACCTAACTTAACCTATCCGAGTAGTATCAATTTTTGGATAATTAATGATGCAGACCAAAAAATTACGTATAAGTCACCAACAACCGTCCACATGACACATACTAAACCGGAACAAAGCCGTTTATACATACATATGTCTGGTCAAGGACAGTCAAGTCGGCAACGTTCTACAAAATTTGACCAATGTTTTCTAATTCAGCAACAACAAATCAAGAAAAGCTTATATCACTTTTGCCTGTATATCTCGTACTTAGCCGTGAAACCTACCTTCAGCAAGTTTCAGAATGGAATCGTATACATACTATGTATGTATGTACATACGCTAGCTATAAACATACAGAAATTTGCTTTAGTTTCTCTAAGCGTGTCTAAATTAGCATTACTGCCAGTCGGAACGCTTAAATAATAATTATGAAATAATATTCGAGTACTGACCAGAATTATTACTTCGTATTTACGTTCGTTCTACTACAATTTGTAATAATTAACTGCTAATTACTGCAAAAAGAAAACTAAATTTCTACTGAAACATGCCGAGCGAATGACTTCGGCATCGAAGCCGACTCGTGTAAAGCGGAAAAATACTACAAAACAAATAATAAATAAGAATAACACCGGTCAACAAAAGAAAACAATTTTTCTTTTGGGTTTCTGTTCACATGCTTGAATTATGATTCTAGGCATTGAAAAATAATTAAATATTAATCTTTAGTTCTTTAAGCTTGCCTTGGGCTGATCTACATCGATAA